ACCAAAAGGCCTACACATCATGGCTTCCAGTCAGATACCTGCTAAGCCAGGCTTCATATGTGCTGTCCGTGCTCTGGTAGGGACATGCCACATCCTGGGTAGTCTGTGCCTTTGTCATGAGGGGATAATTAAGAGCAATGGGAGATTTCATACCAGCGCAGGAACAGGCTACTCCCAAACCTGCATATAGTTTCCTCATCTGATTCCTTAGCATTGGGCTGGAGAGGCCATTTGTTTGGTAAGTTTAAGTGATCAGATTAACGAATAACTTGTAAGGTACTTAGGAACAGAAAAGGACAAGAGAATATAATGGATTATGACCTGTATGGGGGATTTGGGTAGAGAACACATCCTGATTTCCATTCAGCAGCACAGGGCACTGAATCCCATAGTTAACAGTTGTGAGTGGTGTGTGTGTGTGTGCACAAGTGTGTGTGTGTGTGTGACTGACTGACTGTGTTGGCCACTGTCTGGGCATCCTGTGTTAGCACCAGAGCTGGGAAAATGCTCCCCTTCAAAGCCAGAAACCTTGAACACACTTTCATGTTACATATGTACCGTATTTGTTGAGCACTAATGTCTAAAAGATTGTTTAAATCAGTTTTGAAAATCTGAGGTGCTAAATTTTTAACTAGCTTTTTATTATTGTATTGAAATTATTACCATAAAAGCTGTGCAAGTCACACAATTTCTATTTCTCATTGTCTACTGTATTTTATGTAATTAATGCAATTTAAAGCCTGTGGATCTTTATATTTTTTTGTCAGTTGTGTTCTATAAACCACTTTCTAAAGGCACTGAATAAAGGAAAGTATCCTCTTTTACTCTGTGTACACTGAAATTGCTGTTGGTACCACACCGTCTCTCATAGCTGTGGATGGACCCTGGGTGGGGTGACACCTCCCCTCTGCTAAGGACAGAGATGGGAGTAGGCCCAGGGCTGATAGAGTTCCCCTTGCTTACAGTGGGGTCCTGGCATCTCAGGATCTCCCATCTGGGTTCAGAGCTGGGGCCTAGGGGGTCTCCAAGTCACTTTATGCAATTTGACTGCAAGGGCTCTCCTGCCTGGGGCTTGAATTGGGGCTTGGGAAAGGGGGCATGGGAAGTCAACCAAGAGACACTAGTGTCTTTGTGACATAAAGAGCTGTACCACAATCAGGGTGGCACTGCCTCAGTCTTACCTAAAGAGACAGACCAGGAAGGAAAACCAATGAGCTCCTGGACCAGAACCTAGTGGCTTAGGCACCAGATCCCTCTGTTGCTCTCCCTGCTGCCCTCACATGCCTTCATATCTGCTTACCCTCCCTACAGAGGGGCTGGGTATCTGCAGCAAGGTAAGGATGGAGGGAAAATCAGAGATCTACAGCCCACAGCAGGAGGCCAGGTCACAAGCTATGACCCAGAGAAAAAGGTTGCCAACCCCTGCGCAAAGGGATTAATTACAGCAGCTACTCACCACACACAGGTGGAAAGGATCGTGCCTGTTGGACAATCCCATACCTGGCCAGAGCCAACCCGGGATCACAGGGCCTTGTAAGCCCCTCATGCTGACCAGGTTCAACAAGCAGCACCAGGCTCTTGCACTCATGCCACAGAGCAGCCAGCAAAGGGAGGCGCTGGGTTAGCGCTGCCTTTCCAGCAGCAGAAGCCAGCCCTCAGCACTCATGTGCACTCCCACCACCAGCTACCTACAAAAACAGCCAGGTCTGCAAGGGCAACTTATCACTTTACTGCAATCCTCACCCCAGGTGATATGTGGCTACAGGCCCCTCTTGCCTTGTAGCACTTGGATGAGGCTAAGGCAGCCAGGGGATTTATACATGTTAAGGGAAAAGTTAAAAAAGAAGTACTGCTAGCACTTGTGGTGCTGGGGAGAGGACCTCGCGAGCATGACTGCTTAAGGCTTATAACAAATACCTGTGCCAGTGTCATTCCAACAAAACAGCACTGGCTGAAATTGAAATAATCATCTGGGGGTGTGGGGCTGGTCACACTGAAAGAGCAGCGTGAGACAGGGAGGGGAAGACACTGCATGTGTGTCTGTCTGTCTACTGGTGCAAAAATCACCAGGAAAGCTCCCTCTACCCAGCAGGCAGCTGCCTAAACCAGCTCTGAGCCAGGGCCTGGAAGCCCAGCTGGTTCAGTTGGAAACAGCTCTGTTACCAACAGCTGTTTTTAAACCTTCACTCCGTATAGCAGTGTCAGCCAGCACTGAGGTGTGAAGCGAGTGCAGGCATCCCTGGAGAGACAGCCCCTGGCAATCAGGCTGTGGGCTTTGTGCAGGTGCAGCCTGTGCAGGGCATTCACTGTCACCCAGGCCTCTCTGGTCCTCATCTTCCCTGCCGGGTGCTGATGTTCAGAGGGAGGCAAAAATATCTTGGTGGGGCACACATGGTTCCCTGGGGCAACAGTGAGGGCGGGGCACATACAGACAGGCCCCTTCCCCTTTTGTTCACTCATAGCTTCTCTCAGGCTTCCACACTGCTCAGCTCTGAGGTCTTCTCCTTCACTGGCACTTCATCCAGAGGCTTGCATAGCTCCTTGGCCAATGCTGGCTCCTGGGGCTTCTTGCGTCTTCTGTGCTGGATGCTCACATACACTGCTGCTGTGAGGTACAGCACTGCCAGCAGCGTGAAGTAGGAGAAGTACACGTAGAACTGAGGGACAGGAAGAGAGAGCAGAGGGGATGGGATGTAGCACAAGAGCCTGGGCTCAAAGGCACAGGTTGGCCACTAATGCCCTCCCCTGCCCTTGCTTGCTTTGCTACAGGGTGCTGTGGCTGACTCTGGCCCTACTTCCCCTTCCTGCAATCTGTCCCAGAAGCAAAGTCTCAAATATGGCTGGCAGGGCCTAGCACATGCTCTGCCCACACACCCCTGTGCAAAGAGGCCAAGCACAGGCAAATGTCAGCTCTGGAAGCAAATGGAAAAGGGAAGAGATAGGATGCTGCTTATGAGAGTTGCCACAGCAGTGGGGAGGAACAGGCAGGAGCCAAGCCTGGGACCCAAGGGTTTCGGCTAGTTCACCTGGCCCACAGCTACACGCTCCCATTCAGGTGGTGGCTGTACGATTACAAGCAATGGCCACAGGGGAAGCAGGATAACCAGCCTGGCCTCAGCTGTCCATAAGCAAAGCTCAGGAGTAAACAGGCTGGGCAATGCAGGACAGTTGGCCACAACCTCCCCTCCCCTCAAGTCCCATGCTCCAACTGACCTGCTTTCCTTTCTCCTGCCCAGCTACAAAGCAGCCTACCCCAGGGTTCAAGGCTTGGCTGTTCCATCGAGCTCTAGTACGCCCACCTAGCAGCCATGAGCCTGTGCTTCCCCAACCAGCTCCTACAGACAGTGCCCCTCTGACCCTGTGACCTTACCTGAGGATGCACAGACAGGCCCAGGCCTCTCTTATCTGCTATGATAATGGTTATAATGGTCTTCAGAATGGTGGCAAAGAAGGTGTTGATGCCAAACACGAGGGCACAGAGCTCCTTGGAGAGGGAGGTGGCAATCTGGAATCTTGTATGAGAGAGATGGGGGCATGGGGGGAGGCAGAACATTAATTCAGCTGATTCAGGCAAAGGTACTCTCATGAAAATACTCCCCAACTTTCAGCCTAGCCAAGCTGAGGCTGCATGGCCTAGTCAAGCGCACTGGAATATCCCATTTTCTGTTCTGAGTACTGAGCCCTTCTGATTTGCTGGAGGGCTAGGCTCACACCTGTCTGACTGTGTAAGTGGAAACTGTCCCTCCTGGTGTGTAAAGGGACTGATGCTCACCCCCTGCATCAGCCAGCCTTCCTGGCACTGATGCTGACATGTAACATGTGATGCTAGCAGCCCCATCCCCCCTTAAATATAGAGCGCTCTGTTGGAAAACGTGGTCTGTACTTGCTGTTTCAGCCCTGCCTTTTCACGGGAGGCCAAGTCCCTAAGTATGGCTCCAGTGCTCGCTCTCTCTACTCCAAGACTGCCCTTCAGGCAGCATTTAGGATGCTTACATGCTAACCAAAACCAGTTGCAGCCAGGATAATGCAACTGTGCCCATGTTACCAGTCAGGGGAGCCAGCCTATGATGGCCAGAGCAGGAATCTCCAAGCAGGAGGTACTCACATTGCTAAGGGAACCAGGAACTGATAGGAGCCCCTGAACAGCACATATGCCACATAGCACAGCCAGATGTTACTGGTGGAGGTCATCAGCAGGAGAAGCCCTGCCTGGACTGCTGTCACAGTCCCGATCACCAGCTCTGACCACAGCTTCCAGCGGATCTTCACAAAGCCGGCAGCAAAGGATGCAATGGCACCTAGGAAGACAAAGCAGGGTAATGCTGCACTGCCCACAGTGGCACCTGTACTGCTGAGTGTCTTGCCTGGCTACCCTTTGCCCTGGGGTGTTTCAAAGGATAATCATGCTGGACTCACTAGCAGAGAGCCAGAGATAACACAGCCTGGCCCAAACAGCAGCTGAAATGCACCACTGTGCACTAGTAATAACCTGCTTCCCCTGCAGCATGAGCAGCTCTCTGCCCTTAAAAGCACAGTGTCAAGGTACATTCGTAATGGGTCTCACCTAGCAACCCTGCCCTATTCAGGGATTACATGGCAGGGCCACCAAGCTCTGCCTTTAAAATCTAACCGTGTTTAGCTGGCAGCTGCAGGCAGCGGACTTCAACAGTGGAGGCAGGACAGATCATAGCATCATAGAATCACTGAGTGGGAAGGGACCTGGACAGATCATTGAGTCCGACCCCCTGCCATGGGCAGGAAGGAGCACTGGGGGTGATTAGACCCCTGCCAGGTGCCTATCCAGTCTCCTCTTGAAGATTTCGAGGGAAGGTGAGAGCACCACCTCTCTGGGAAGCCTATTCCAGGCTCTGGCCACCCTTACAGTGAAGTAGTTCTTCCTAATATCCAACCTAAACCTATCCTCCCTCAGCTTGTGGCCATTGTTCCTGGTGACTCCAAGGGGGGCCCTGGTGAACAGACTTTCCCCGAGTCCCTGCTGGTGGCCCCTGATAAGGTTGCAGGCAGCCACAAGATCCCCCCTCAGTCTCCTCTTGCGGAGACTGAAGAGATTCAGGTCCCTCAGCCTCTCCTCATGGGGCTCGCCATGGAGGCCCTCAACCATACGAGTGGCCTCCTCTGGACCCTCTCCAGGTTCTCCAGATGCCGAGCTGCTTGCTGACTTTCTTGCAGCCACTTTCAGGGCAAAAGCCTGCTGAGTCCAGCCTGGCAGCATGATTACCAAGAGTCAAGAGCCACAAAGACTACGAAGCCAGCAGCTTTCCCCTTAAAGACTCCCTGGATAGAGGTGTAGTGGCAGAGGACTCTTCCTCAGATAAGTGCTTCTTCTTGCCTGCCACTGTGCCTGGCTCAGGTCAGCTACACCTCAGCTCCCCACAAAATGATCCCCAAACCCTGGCAACAGATGGGGTTGAGTTACTGACTGTGGTGCATGGCACCATGGCCACGAGCTACTGGGCACGTCCAGTCTGGCCGAGTGCAAGGAGCTAGAGATCTCTCAAACTGCTCAATGAAATGGAACAAGGAGTTTAGTGCTCCTGCAAACGGGGGCTAACAGATTTGACCCGGGTGCAGGCTGTGTGAGCTGCCACACTGCTGGGATCTTTCAGCTTAGTACAAGATAGTGGTACTTGTTTCACTACAGGGGAGGATTTCAAAGCCACCTACTTAACCTGGTGCAAAGCCTTTGTATGACAATGAAGATCCACGGTCTGACAGGTGCCCATAACTACAACTATATGACCATGACAGAAACAGGTTTAAAACGAGGCTCATTTCAGCTTTGCTTGAATCAACTGAGAAAGGACACGGGGAAGGTGAACTGTGCCATTCTTAAACCGCTCTTCTCCCAGAGGGAGGCCCTCACTCTGCCACTGCTCCTAGGGCCTCACCTTTGCCATTCAGATCTGAGACCTGCCGGAGGTGGGTCTGCTGCAGTGCTGAGTTGTGAGACTTGGTGCAATGGCTTCTGTCCAGCTGGGAACTAATCTGGGCTTCTGGGCTTTGTCAGAGCACAGGGAAGCTGCTGTAACACATTCCTGAGGGATTAGAGCCCAGGGCAGGACTGGCCACTTGGGGATGCGCTTCCCAACACCCTCCCCACAGGCCCCTCTAAAGACAACTCTTCTGCAGATGGACTGCACTTCAGGTAGCTCAGATGGAGACAACCTGCTGTTGCTTGGAGCAGAAGGACAACAGAAAAGCCTGGAAGCCAAGAGGTGCACGTACCAAGTAATGTTGAGGCAGCATCCACCCCGCCATTGTAGACTTTCCGGTTATCTTTGGCTGGATAAACAACATCCCACAAAATCTGCACATAATACAGCATTAGGTAGTAGCCGGCAGAGTTGAATATCCACCAGAACGACCAAAGCCGCAGCTGGGGCTGCTGGACAATGGTCCCCAGCTCCCGCAGCATGCGGCAGAGGGCAGCATCACGCCAGCAGGAAGGCAGGCATGTGGTGTGCTTGTAGTTATCTGGGCTCATCTTGTCCAGCTCCGAAGGGGAAGTGCTATTACACACTGGCTCAGCCCTGTTGAAGAAGAGACTCCGCCTAGGCCGCTCCAGGAACAGTGTTATGAAGAGCCCAAAGACTGTGAAGCCCAGGGAGATATAGTTCAGTGTCATGAAGGGCACCCCACCAACTGTGACACAGAGCTGCCCCAGCACTGAGCTGGTGAAGACGCCCATCAACACAGCAGACCTGGAGTAGCTAGCCATGCGCTGATAGAGTGATGGGGTGACCAGAGAGAAAACGTAAGAAGAATAGGCCACACGGGCTGCCATGGTGATGCTATAGAATAACTCCATGAACTGCATAGTGAGGATGGTGGTGCCGAAGATCAGGATCAGCCAAATGGAGATGTAGCTCAGGCTCTGGAGCATCAGCACCGGCTTGTAGCGCAGGTAGTCTGTCAGCAGGAAGATGGGTACCAGCACCACCATGTAGGAGTACGACAGGACTGGAGTGATCTCATTAGTCACCTGCAAGGCAACCAAGTCAGCAAGACAGCAGCCATCATGCTGCAGAGGCACAGGGGAGGAAAGCACTGTGAGCATAGTGCTTATTGCTGTGAGCACAGAGGTGCTGACATTTGGGGGCAAGCTCTGGAGGTGGCACTCCTCCTTTAGGTTGCTGAGCCATGGCCAGAGGCCAGGCTGGTGGGAAGTGTTCAACTACTGCACCTTCAGCATCCCTAGTCCTTGGATGGGTTCATCCTGCACCCTCCTGAGTACTGGTCTCAACTGACGTGCTCCTGCTGCTACACCTAGAACCCAGGATGCTTCTTACCATGCATTCCAGGACCAAAACATAGCAATGGCTTCTGAATAAAGAGCACCACACCACACCATGCACAATGGTGCTATACAGCCCAGCCAAAGGCCTAGAGCATGAGCTCTGGGCTGTCTATAGAGCATAGATCATATGGGATCAAGGCAGCAGCAACTGCTGACTGATGTAGGAGCTTGGCAGTCTGGGAATAAGTATTAATTACCTGCCCAAATGGTTGCCAGGGTGCTACTGTACTTGAAATCCAAGGCATCAACAGACAGAACACACCTTGTAGGCATGAAAATGAAGACTGATGTGGTGCTGACTACAAAGACAGCCTGAGAACACCAGTCAGACCTGGGCCAGTCCCTGGGGACACAAATACTTCACAACCCAGCTCACACACCACACCCCGCAGCCTGCCCACCTCCTTCAGACTCTGGCAGCAGGAAGAAGACAGGAGGGACAGCAAGACAGCACTCCCCATGGGGTAGGGCAACACAGTGGTTCTGGGGCAGTGATGGGATGACTCAGCTCATGCCAAAAGCTTTGGGGAGCCCCTTACCTTCTGCACTGCCTGCCTGTCTCTATAGTAGGCCATTAGCACACCTCCCTCTCTGCCTACCACCACCAGATCAAACCTCTGCTTCCCAGCACTGCCATCATCCTTGACAGCAATGGCCCCACAGAAGGTACCAGACTCCCTCTCTGCATGGGGATGTGAGCAAAAGTTGTGGCCTTCCAGCCAGGCTCCCGCCACTCTGCCCCAGTTTGCTTGGGCCTTCCTGACTGCCACTTTCCCTGCTCAGGTTTAGGTTGCTCCTATTCCTCCTGGGCCCCAAAGAACCCTGCTCTCCACAAATATCCTTGAACCAATGTGCCTCAATCACTCTCCCCCTGCTTGCTGCTCCCTTCCAAGGCCCCATGTCACACTCTGGGTGGGATGCGAGCTTGTGCTACTGCAGACCATGCTACAGCACAAGTGTCCCAGTATCTGTTTGTGCTTACCCATGCACATGTCTGTACAGGCCTGGGGAGAAGAACTCAAGGCCTCAGACGTTTGAGTAGTCCGGTAAGAAGGGAAAAGATGTATATAACCATGGCCTTTGGGACCTCAGCAGAGCAGCACACAAGTCATAACTGCCTAATGATCATGAATGAGCCTTCTTAATAAAATCCCTTATCCTGGAGGAATTCAACAGCCGTCTTGGTGCTTGGCACAGGACTCAACTAAGCTCCAGGCAACCACTTTTGCTTAGGACTCTGTGTTCCCAAGCCCCGGAAGTCAGGCAGTCCCAGTCTCAGCTCTGCCCTAGCACAGCAAGTAGCAAAGACCCGTTCACATAGCTGAGACATGAAGTGTAATCAACTTAACCTCCACAGTGCAAAACCCGCACTCCTTCTTATAGCAGTGGACAGCTAATAGTTAGAGCACTGTTCTGCCTCCCCTCCAGGGGCAGAGATTGCCTGTCTTGCAGCAAGTTACACACACCACAGCAATGACAAGACATTGTATTCCTGCTAGGCAAGCCCCTGTAGGCCCTGCAGCCTGCAGAAACACCACTGTCTCTCTGAAGCATTGAGTGAGGGCAAGAGTCTTGGAAAAGTACAAACTGGGACATACTTAAATCAAAACACTTAAGAACATCAGAACTACTATTTGCAAACCATAGGTCCATCTTGTCCAAGGGAATGGATCATCAGGAGGAAGAGGACAAAAAAAGTCCCAGATTTAAGCTGTGCATCAGAGACCATCGGGGTCAAGCTAACTGTCTGCAGACACTCCACCTGTGAGACTGCATAAAAGAATTCCTGTCGAGAGAAACTGAGGTCAACTGATGTGACTGGACTTATTGGCTTCCTGCAAAGAACACATCCAGAGCGTACGAGAGTGCATTAACTAGCACTGTTGGTAGCTGGCTGAGCAGCTGCCCGTCAGTTAAACATACAGGATAGGACTGCAGTGACTCCTTGGCCCTGGCTCCATTATTTGCTGGTTCCAAAACACCTTGTGTCACTTGTCCCAGAGTGGATGTTGAAAGGGAGAGCAAACAGGGCTTTTTCCACTGTTCCCCTGCCACTTCCAGCTTCCAGCATTTATGGTCTAGGAATTTTTGATTCAGACACTGTGCCCCAACTCCCATGCTCAATAACTACCGATGCACTTTTCCTCCAGAAATCTGTCCGATCCCTTGTTGTTTGGACAGATAGGTTTTGCATTTCAAAACATGCATTTTGAAAATAAACATTTAATGGAAAAGGTTAACCCAAAAATCAGTTATTGTTGTTTTGTGCTGCAATGTTTTGTTTGACCCCTCAGAACATTTTTTTTTCTTTTTCTTCTTTTGTTTTACCAAAAGCCAAGTCTTGTTTGCTCTGGGCTAACTTGATGCCCCTGCTGTTTCAGCCACTCCTGTGGATCTCTGTATCTCCCATTTGTGGGAGGCCAAGGGGAGGCCACATGCTCCGTTGGTTTGGTTTCTGATGGGGGCAGCCCCTCTGCCTAAGCTCATTCCCTTGCAAAAGGGGTAAGCGATGGTTATTGGATATTTGCCAGGAGGGACCATAGATGCAGCAAAGCCCAAAACAGCTTTCTCTGATTAACCCTGGTCAGCACAGTTGAGCTTCAGAGAAGGAGCTTGGAGCTAAATGAAAAGCATGCTTCAAGCCAGCAGAGAGACAGCAAAAGGCAGGGGGACCCTTTCCTTCCCAGCTCTGCCAACACCCAAACAGGAACAGCAAATCCTCACGCGCAGGAGGTAGTCGAGCTTTGTGGCCAGTGTGGACAAGGTGAGCCACAACCCTCCTTGAGGGCCACTCTGCCCCCTTCCCCGACTCCCAGGTGTACCTGACAGTGTGTGCCCCAAGGTGCCAGAATGGATGTGCCTGGGGTCATGTGCCATGTAGCAGCTTCCCATGCCACACACCAACCTGCTGTGGAATCCATGCTCCATCTCAGGCCTTGAGTACCCCAGTGACCCCACCAATGGGCACACACAGCACCTAGCACAACAGGGCCTGGCTCCTTCAGGGGTCTTGACCAGTGCACCTGCACACCAGGTGACAAAAGTCTTCTGTCTTCGCTGCTCAAATAGCAACTCACAACTTTTGTGCCAGAGCCAGTTATACAGCTTGATTCTGGTACAGTGGAAGGTGAAGCATGTTTGTAGTGCAAGTACAGACATGCTGTAGTGCACTTCCTGTTAGGGGTTGGGGCCTGGGCTTTTTGCAGAGACAGAAAAACCCCAGCCCCTGGGTCTGACTACACAAGCACATGCAGTTTGTTTCCGTGCAGACAGTGCATTCCCTGCTACACGTGTCCAGGCTTACCCCTGCAAGGCACTATGGCTGCTGCTACCCACAGCTGCACTGTGGGTTACTCTGCCAGATATGCTGCATAAGAGGCAAAAAGTGCTTCCCCAACATGGCCCAGAGCTATTTAAGAACACTCTAAATGCCACACACGGGCACCAGCAGCTACAGCACAGGCATCTAAAGACAAAACCTCTCCTGGGCAGAGCTCCCAGCTATGGTGCCCTGCAGAGCTCATCTCTACTCCCCAAGCAATGGAGAATGCAGGGCAAGAAGCACAAGTGGGTAAGAAGCAAAAGGAAGCAGCACCGAGTCCTTTCCCTCTGCCCCTCAGCAAGGCAGCATGATCTGGCTTTGCTTGGCCATGTTTACTAGGGAATTGATTCCTCAGCCAGCCGGCACTTAGATCCACTGCGCAGCTGGTGTCTGAGAAACGTGCAGTGTCTTTCTGGCACACTCCAACCTAGGCTGGGTCCCACTCCAACTGAGGTGCTCTGCCTAAGTCTGTCAGAGCAACCATTCTAGGCTTGCCGCCCTGAGGCTGGCAACATATCCCCCTAGCCTCCTGCTTTTACTCCAATGGCTCCTTCTCTGCTGTGATTTGATCCCATAGAGCAGGTAGGGCTGTAGCTCTGACCAAAATGAGAAGCATCATGGCTTACCTCTAGCTGGAATGAGGTCTGGAGAAATCACTCTATCTCCTGAGCACAGAAGGGGTTAACTAAAACTTCTGGCTTTAACAGAAGTCCTTCCTAAAAAGAGATTAGCTATTTTGGGGGGAAGTTGCTCTGCATGAACTTCCTCTGCTCCCCCTCCCCCAAAGCATAAAGCAAACTGCTGACACAGGATACTGCAGCTGGGAGCTCTGAACTTTGATTTCTTGGGAAGTGGGGCAGAGAGGAGGCAGGACTGCCTATGCATTGCATGACTGCTGCAGCTGACCTCAGGCTGGGTGCATCACTAAACAAATGCAGCAAGGAGCATTAAAGAAGTGATCCCATGTGCCACCTCTCTGCTGCCTTGTACATCAGCATCTTCCGAGTCCTGCACAACCAGAACTCACTGGTTCTGGGCATCTCCTTGGGAAAGGTGATAAAGAGAAGCATGAACTGCTCAATAGTGAACCGCGTTGGGTTAGGTTTAAACAGAAACCCTTACAGGAACACAGGGAAGAGTTCACTTATGTCTCCATGAATCTTCACTCCAAAGAATGAGGTGAGCCTGCTGGTGCTGGTCAGCACCTTCCAAACCAAAGATAGGAGTCAAAATCTGGCCTTTTGACACAGAAAGAAGTTTATGCAAGAACAGTTTGACTTTTATTCAGTTTTCTGAGGATTCCCCCCCCCCAATCTCTCTGTCACCCACTGACTCCTCAATTGACATCTTCACTGACTAGCTT